GGTGTACGTGGCTGGCGCCTTAGCCGGTTGAGCTATAGGCGCCGAGCCGGAAGACAATTTTTCTACAGACTCACAGTGTAGGGGTTGGATAAGGGGTCAGTGGAGGGTGAGGAGGCAGAGTTATGTGGATTGCTAGGCCTGGGAATTGGGGATGGCAGATTTAGAGTAGGACATCTCATTGGGAAGGGAGAGTTGGGTAGAGTATCTCATCAAGATTCAGAATTAAAACACATTTTTTCCACCTGTTGACAGGGGCAGTATCACTGTCTGCTTCTGATTCTGGCCTTTGGGCAGTAGAAGGTGGCAACAAGCTTGTTTGCTCAGGCCTCCTTCAGGCTTCCAAAAGCAATCTTATATCTGGCTCAGTAATGTACATAGAGGAGAAAACAAGGACCAAGCAGAAAGGTAAGCTTGAACTTTTATTGTTTCTCATTTCCTCTGTAGAAAATGATTGCTTGGGGTGAAACACCTCTCTTTTGCCATCTCTCACTCAGTTCCACAATGATGGAATGCTAAATTTTATATGTTATGCCATGTAGAAATATTCCCAAATGTACCCAGGTATGGTGGCATGATTCCTTGGATTTAAAAAATACATATAATCTCATCCTCAAAAGTAAAACTTCCATTATTTCAAACTTACTGACATTCTGAAGAGGAAACTGTCCTCATAGCAATAAAAGTGCAAAGGATAGTTATGTTAAGGGATAAAACCTCTTTAGTTCTTTAGAATTATAGAGAAACTATTAAGAAGGTAGTATATAGCTGGGCATTGTGGCAGGCACCTGTAGTCCCAGCTACTTGGGAGGCTGAGGCAAGAGAATCGCTTAAGCCCAAGAGTTCGAGGTTGCTGTGAGCTGTTACAACACAGCACTCTACTGAGGGTGACATAGTGAGACTCTGTCTCAAAAAAGAAAAAAAAGAAAAGAAAAAGAAGGTGGTATAGAATTATTTTTAGGAGGTGTAAAAAAATAGGATGGTGGAAACACTAAAGAAATATTTGCTTTCTTATTCCCTCTAGGAAATCCCACAAAGATGTATGAAGTGGTCTACCAAACTAGATCTGAGACCCATTCAGACTTCTATGACATCGTCCTGGTAGCCACTCCATTGAATCGGAAAATGTCCAATATTACTTTTCTCAACTTTGATCCTCCAATTCAGGAATTCCATCAATACTATGAACATATAGTGGCGACTTTAGTTAAGGGGGAATTGAATTCTTCTCTTTTTAGTTCCAGAGCCTTAGATAACTTTGGCCTTAGTACAATTTTAACCACTGATAATTCTGATTTGTTCATTAATAGTCTTGGGATCATGTCCTCTATAAGGCAAACGGAAAGTCCTCAACCATCAACAGATGGAACATATGTTTGGAAGATGTTTTCCCCAGAAACTCTTACTAAAGCACAGATTTTAAAGCTCTTTTTGTCCTATGATTATGCTGTGAAGAAGCCATGGCTTGCATATCCTCACTATGAGCCCCCCCAAAAATGTCCCTCCATCATACTTCATGATCGACTTTATTACACCAGTGGCATAGAGTGTGCAGCAAGTGCCATGGAAATGAGTGCCATCGCAGGCTACAATGCCGCGCTACTTGCCTATCACCGCTGGAACGAAAACACAGACATGATTGACCAGGACGGTTTATATGAGAAACTTAAGACTGAACTATAAAACGACACTCTCTCTCTTACCCCCTCCTAGTTCCAAATGAATATCAATGAATATCGCAAAAAAGGACAAAGTCTGAGCAGAGATAATTTTGAATTGAGTATTTTGCTATTATCATTGTTTAACAAAAGTAATCTCTGTAGGTCATAAGAAATTACAAGGTTCTAATTAAGTGTGAAGATGTAACTGTTGCATTTTTGCCATCTCCAAAATTTCTCAAGTTTTTTTCAATATCCATTAGCAATGTTGCTCAACTTGTTTCACTGTAAGAATTACCAGGAGTTTGTTAAACATATGGATTCTCAGGCTCCTCTCTTAGAGATTTATGTTTCATTAGGTTTGGGGGTAGGGCCCTGGATTTTGATCAAAAACAGGTAACACTGTAAGTTGAGTAATTGAGAGAGATCTTAAAGACATTTTATTTGGGGACTAGTCCATTTGAGCTTCACATCTGGACGTGATCTTCAGTCAGATAAAACTAATAGGGGAGCTGGTGTATTTATGCCTGGCTCTTAGTAATTTTATACCCTGTTCTGAAGTAAATGTGCCCATGCCTAAAGCCTTGACTTTCAGAATGTTGTCTTTTGATTGCTTCTGTTTTGATTTTATTAGGGGTGAAATTTTATGCCTTAGTGATTTAACTTTAAGATGTCATACAAAAATCTCAAGTTAATGAAAAGCAAATATGGGCTTGGCGCTTGTAGCTCAGTGGTTAGGGTGCTGGTCACATACACCAGGGCTAGTGGGTTTGAACCCAACCCAGGCCTGCTAAAAACAACAATAACAAACTACTACAACAACAAAAAAATAGCCGGTCATTGTGGCAGGTGCCTGTAGTCCCAGCTGAGGCAAGAGAATCACTTAGGCCCAAGAGTTTGAGGTTGCTGTGAGCTGTGACATCACACGCTCTACTGAGGGTGACATAGTGAGACTCTGTCTCAAAAAAAAAAAGCAAATGTGGTTTATTGTATTAGAAATTGGCATTCTTGGCTTGGTGCCTGTGGCTCAAGTGGCTAAGGCGCCAGCCACATACACCTAAGGTGGTGGGTTCGAATCTAGCCCAGGCCTGCCAAACAACAATGATGGCTGCAACCAAAAAATAGCCGGGCGTTGTGGCAGGTGCCTGTGGTCCCAGCTACTTGGGAGGCTGAGGCA